AAACTGCCTCCTTGTTTGCATAAAATGATATCACAATTCAAACATTCTGACTCTTAACCACTTCCAACCATAAGCACAGCAACTTCTGATGCAGTAGGTGTGGTGTACTGGCATTCATCACGTAACTTAATAATTTTCATTTTTAAATCTTGTACTGAATTCTTCTGTATCATCTGTGTGGCTTGTCGAAAAACATATACATATGGATTTACCTTGTGAAGCATTGCTTAAAGCTCAGAAAGTGTAGAACTGTCTAAATCAGGCATAAGGCATTGTCTATATCTTTGCTGTTCATCTGTATCATACATATAGATTTGACAAAATGATGGGTTGGTTTGATTTTCAGGTAAAAGTGTACCTATCTGATGGTATATTTCTCCATGAATATGAAAAGTGTATATATCACTAGTTGCTACTACTCGCTTATCGATTTTAGCACCCATTGATGTAAATGCAAGGACTGAGTTATACATTCGAATTTTTTTTCGAAAGTTATGTGCACGTACATTACTTTCAGTTAATAAAGCAAGTAGACTTGGAGGAGTTAAAGCTAATAGGGGCAAATAGACTTTACCTTTTGCACAACATGTGCTAAAAATTGGCATTTGAATTGTTCCAGAAACCCATTCATCTTTTCAATGTAAGGCACCACATTGTATACATTCAATATTCATAGCACCCAAGTCATGCAATGTTACGATGTTACTGTCATATTGTTTCCTGCGAGCTTTATTAGAAGCATGTTGATTTACTTTTCTACGTTTGGCTTTTCGTTTTTCAGTATGTTCTGTAGTTTCAGTTGCTGTCCGTTATATATAGGCATTTCATTCTTGTACACGCCACTGTGTAATTTGCTGATTTGTGAGAGTAGAATTACGGAGCACTCGGGATTTTCTTGCAAGCCAATTTCTGTGATCATGTGAACTTTCTGTATCCCCAGCTACAAATTCTGTGTTTTGTGTCGTCTGTCTTGCATAGCATTCTCTAGCTAAATTATTACGATGTGTCCTTATTGTTTCAGGATCTTTCATTATAAAATTAGTTGTTTTTTATATTATATTAAAAATATCAATCCTGCAATTATAAATATCAGTTCTATAATATAATGAAAGAGAAACACATGTGCAAGATAGTGATTTATTTTTTTGAAAAGTGGAATTTATTATATATATATATTAATAATCAATGGTTTATTTTTTGTAGATATCCGACTGTCATTAAACGATTGCATAATGAAGCTTAACATGTAAGTCCATAAAAGATGGCACATACAATTTGTTGATTTTGATCACTCTATGTAAATTTTAAGATATAGTTTATTTGCTTGCTGATAATGACTCACACGTAATTTGTTGAATGTAATTTATTTTTTATATTATCATTAACGATTGCATAATAAAGCTCAGCATACAAATTTTAAAGTTTATTTTCACTCTTGTTATGTAGATTTTAAACACACATAATTTGTTGAACAATTACGTAATTGCGCAATAAAGCTTGACATGTAAGTTCATAAAAGATGGCACACACAATTCGTCGATTTTGGTCACTCTACGTAAATTTTAAGATGAAGTTTATTTGCTTGCTGATAATGGCTTACATATAATTCGTCAAACGTAATTTATTTTTTTATATATCATTAATGATTGCCTAATAAAGCTCTGCATACAAATTTTAAAGTTTATTTTCACTCTTGTTACATATACATAAATTATGTAATTGCGTAATAAAGCTCGACACATAAGTCTATCTATAAAAAACCAAATCATTGATTTTTAGGTCACTCAAACGTTAGACTGTCAGTTATTGAACTATGGACTGTCATTGAATGATAGACTGTCAGTCATTGGACGACTACGTAATCAAGCTCGATACATGAAACATCTGAAAATTTAGTATATAGATATATCAAGTTTTAATAAATATATGTTAAAAAATTTATAAAAAATTAGTTACTACAATTTTAAATAATTAAGTGTAAAAAAGTGTTCACAATAATATGATAGGTAGCTGTATATTTGACTTAAGAATTAATATTTATCTAATATAAAAATAAGTTCTTAAATTAAAAATAAGAATATAATTCAAATATTTCTTATTATTAAAAAAATATTTTTTAAATATAAGATTAAAAAAAAATGATTTACAAAAGTTTTTTACAATTTAGTTTACTTAATTTAAGTGTTTTTTAAATTATATTTCTATTAAAATAATAAATAATTAATTATATCTTTTCAAAAATAATATAATTAATTTGTAAAAAATATATATAGTAAAAGAAAATGTATTTAAAAAATATATAAAAATAAAAAAAAAAAGTATAAACATAATTAGAAAAAAAACAATTGAAATAACTGAAGCTAAAACTAGAACAAAATTACATAAACTATAAAATTTGTAAAAGTAAAACTTATATCTTTTTGAAAAAGCAGCTAACAAATAAAGTATCTTCAAACCTTTTTTTCAAAAGATATAATTTTGGCTTCTAATAGAGTACCAATATGTAAAGTATCTCCAGACCCTTATATAAAAAAGCAATCAATAAATGAAGTATTTCTGGACCTTTTTTTTTATAGACATGTATTTTACTAATACAGATAATATAATATAAGTGATATTGTTTGTTGTTAAAGTTATGGTTATTTGAATTGTTGACTATAATAGTAGTAATTATTGTTAATATACTGTAGTTTTGTTTTGATTGTTTTTATTAAAGATACTATATATTTGTTTATGTTAATTGTTGTATAGTGTATTGGTAGTACTGATTTGTTTTGATGTTTGGTAAAATTTGATTAGTTAAATTTGAGATAGTACTCAATTAACAGAAGTAAATTAATTATAGTTTTTGGTAAAAAAAATTTTTTTGTAAAAATTTTTGATTTTTGTAGTGTAGCAATATATGTTGAATAATATTGAGAAGTGAAAACTACAGTATAAATATTTCTGGTATCCCAAGCTAACAATATAGATAATTTTGATATAAAGTTTGATTTTTTGAAAAGAATAAAAGTTAACAGAAAAGAAAATTTTTTATTTAATAAGAAATATATTTTAATAAAAAGTAGAAATGTAAAGAATCTCAAGAAAAGCTTGTAAATAAGTAACTGTTACAGGTTTTTTCTCATGCAATTTAAAGAAGAAGCTAGTGCTCAAAATTTGCTCTTCCTTGGTTAGAGGTTTCATCTGATGTATCAGTATACTTCCTTGATTTCTTTGAGATTCTTGTATTAAAAATAAAAGGAATATAAATAACTTTTGAATATTTAAAGGCAAAAAAAGTATTTGTTTTTTTAATTTTGAAAAAAAATTAATATAAAAGAAAATTTTTAAGAAAAATATTATATATAAAAAAAAGTTTTTTTTTTTTATTAACTTGCTATACTTTTTTTTTATTATTGTACACTAGTGATAATTGTTCTGGCTAAAAGTTATTCCTAATTATGATATTTATATTTATCTAAAACAGCTATTTAAAACAATACTATAACATATTGAATTACTAGTAATATCCAACTCATATCGAAATTGTTTCAAATAACGAGATTTGTTATAACTTGTTCCTAATTTATATTAGATATAAAGACTAATTTACTAAACAAAGAAATTTCTTTGTTTGATTAATAGCATATATTTTTACTAATATTTAAGCTTTATTTCTAATTAAGAAAGAATTAAGAAAAGTTGAAAAAGAGCACTAGAATAAGAATGGATTTTTAAATTATTTAGCATATAAAATTTTGCAGATCAATTATGTCTTTTTTGAAGAGACATAATTATTTATTCATTATTTTAATAGAAATATAATTCAAAAAACACTTAATCAAGTAGTCTAAATTACAAAAAATCTTTGTAAATAATTTTTATATTTTAAAAAAAAACTTTTTTAATAGTAAGAAACATTTGAATTATATCTTTACTTTTAATTTAGAAATATATCTTTACACTAGGAGTAATATCTATGGTAAATAAAACTATATAATCTTTACTTGCTTTATCAAAAATAAATCTCTTTACCATTACTTGCAGCTAGGCTAACTATTTAATTTCTTATATTTCCAACTAATATTCAAGAACATTCAAGGTACTTATAACTGGTACTTACTGCCTAAATATTGATTTATATAATTTTGCATAAAACAGAACTTATTGCCAGATACTTTCTCAAAATAAGTATTATTAGACTGGTTTATTATTGGATTGAGATAAGACTAGAGCAAGAATTTGTGTAAAAGATGTTAGATATTAAAGAAGTGATCATTAAACCTACTTATTGAAAATGAATATCTTATATATCTTGCAACTTCTGACAATCATTGTAACATTAACCGAATAATTGTTGTGTTATAATATCTTTTCTGGAAATCACAATCTCAATGCCTATTGAATTAGTATATAAACAGCTTCTTATGAGAAATAGTACTTTTATAGGTTATAATGTCAGATATTATATTAATTCTATTTAACCACCTTTATATAAGATTGAACTGATATTTTGTAATTTGATCTGTAAAGTATTAACCACTATACTATAGATTTACAAGTATCTGCTATACTTTTATTATGTATATAATTTATATATTATATATAGTTATATTATATTTATATATATATTGAATGATCATTTATCTATAATAACTAGCAACTGAAACTACAGAACATGCTGAAAAACAAAAAGCCAAACGTAGAAAAGTAAATCAACATGCTTCTAATAAAGCTTGCAGGAAACAATATGACAGTAACATCATAACATTGTATGACTTGGGTGCTATGAATATTGAATGCATACAATGTGGTGCCTTATATTGGAAAAATGAATGGGTTTCTGGAGCAATTCAAACGTCAATTTTTAGCACATGCTGTGCAAAAGGTAAAGTCCATTTGTCACCATTAGCTCCAACTCTTCCAAGTCTATTTGCTTTATTAATTGAAAATAATGCGTATGCACATGACTTTCGAAAAAAAATTCGAATGTATAACTCAGTCCTTGCATTTACATCAATGGGTGCTAAAATCAATGAGTGAGTAGTAGCAACCAGTGGTATATATACTTTTTATATTCATGGAAAAATATACCATCAGATAGGTACACTTTTACCCAAAAATCAAACCAACCCATCATTTTGTCAAATCTATATGTATTATACGGATGAACAGCAAAGATATAGACAATGCCTTATGCCTGATTTAGACAGTTCTACACTTTCTGAGCTTCAAGCAATACTTCATAAGGGAAATCCATATGTACATGTTTTTCGACAAGCCGCACAGATGATACAGAAGAATTCAGTATAATATTTAAAAATGAAAATTATTAAGTCACGTGATGAATACCAGTACACCACGCCTACTGCATCAAAAGTTGCTGTGCTCATGGTTGAAAGTAGTCAAGAGTCAGAATGTTTGAATTATGATATTATTCTATACAAACAAGGAGGCAGTTTACAGCGAATTTCTCAGATCCATCCTGCTTATAGTCTGTTACATTATGTATTGCTTTTTCCATATGATGAACCTGGATGGCATTCTAATATCCCTATACACAATATACTGCATGATCAAATAAGTAACAATATGATATTACATGAATAAACAAGCGACAATATAAACATTTTCGAAAATTACGAAGAGGATAAAAACTTCCGATGTGTAACAATAATGAATTATTATACTTACCATTTGCAAATACGTAGAGATACACCTCTAGAATCATTTGCATTGCATAGGGCTGGCCAATTGTTTCAACAGTATATAGTAGATGCCTATGCATGTATTGAACAGAGTCAACTTAACTACCTTAGGCTAAATCAGAAACAAATCTGGGCTGAATTATATAATGGATTACAAGACACACTTACAGTCAATAATGAGCTT